AGATATTTACATAATTTTGCCTATACAGGATAGTCACTTTTAATGGGTGTACCATTAACATTTCCTGAACCAGAAGTTAGTTTAATTATGAGAAAGTTTAATTTTTTTGTATGTGATTTCGGATTATGAAAAGAAATTGGAGATAAGTTGCACCGTTCCTAAAACGTGTACATAAAGCGATATGCTCTATCTGTTGCAAGATTAAAACATTTTCCTTATGTTTTCATAATTCATTTTTGATTTTTTTTACACCATATTAAACTTTTGCAGCATTAGATGAAGAATTAAATTTCTAGGTCAACGATGTATAATAAATACTTGGCTGAAGAAATTTTATTAAGGGCAAAAAACGTAAATTTTATGGTTTATTTAATTTAATCGAAGTTGCCATGAAAAAAAAATTAAAATTTTGACATTTCTATTTAAACGTATCAAACTATCATTTACTGCTGTAAATACATACCAAAGTGTTTCTGTTATTTGTTTATAATGTCGCAATATTCAGTAGGTGAAAATCTGACGATAATATGCATATTCGCTGTGAGCTTCGCTGGTATCGCCACCTAGCGGTTTTATAGCTACAACTTCTGTCGGAAATTTAAAGTGACATAGTACTGAAAGTGTATATGCCAAATACAAATGATAGTTAATACTTTTTATTTAATTAACGTAACAAAGAAGTTATTAGATCGTAATCTATGAATAATATCAGTAAGTAAACAATTTTATTCATTATAATTATTATTTTTAAGATTTTGCACTTCATTTTGTGATTATGTTGACTGCGATTATTAGAATAGGAGAATTTTCCCTCCATAATTTAATTATACTTGCAATAAATAAAGAAATTATTAAAAATATGGTCTAAATAGCAATGTTATTTATTTATTTATTTTTCTAGTTTTGGAAAAATGAGTATTTCAATCAAACTGTGATCAAATGACTACTACAAATTACATGACTTTTTTTAGGTAACCATCCTGGCCCATGATTAAATGCTCTACCTACAACAACATAAAATTTTAATTATTATTTAGATAGATTTTAAACATTAATTTTGATCCACATGTCACAACTT